CACAGGACGACCACGAAAGGATGAGTTGGCGGGCGCTCCCGTGGCACTTTACGGTACATGGACATCCACTAGTGTACGTATGCTGCTCTTAGCATACAGCCATACACACACTTACCAGTGGAGAATTCTGCAGGGAAGTACACCACTCCGCCGTCACCCATCGACACAAAGAGATAGTCTTGTCCCTCAAACACGCACATCACGACCGAGCGCGACACGAGCTCTACGCACAAACAGCACAGCACACACAGAGAAAACGGGCATGCAGCAATGAAGACAAGGTAACGATGAAGATCACAATGACGTGGTAAACTGTAAAATTTCGGCATTCACTATTTTTGACATTTCATCAGCAATATATTTTCGGCACGGGGTTAATGCTGGTCCACTAGTACACCACCGAAGCCGATGTGAAAAGTTTTATCAGCGTTTAATTTTGGCGTTTTGGGTGGGTGACGAATATAGCCGAAATTAAATAGCTGCCGAAAGTTTCGTATGGCTTGAGGGAAATTGTGTATATGTACAGTACAAGTATGTGTTGCACGTGCTACGCTGTGATCGGCTACATGTTATGCAAGAGTGTCCTTGCCTGTCGTGGTTCTATTGCCCCACTCCATATCCTATTTTCACAACTCAAAGCAACATACATGTATTCACAAGTAACGATTGGCAATAAGCTAAACAGACAACGGCATGCCAACATGAAGCCAAGCAGACACAAGCACACACACAAGCAGAGCACAGCATGGCCTACCTCCACCTAGAGCAGCACTCGTCACCAGCTCCAGAGACGGCAAGCGCAGCAAAAGCACGCTGATGTCTTTCCACAGCGCTATGGCGCAGAGGTTGGTACGATTGCCAGCCGCTGCAGCGCACCACACACAAGTCAGCACAGACCGAAATTTTACTTAGCAAAGAAGCACCGGATTCTAACGTGTTGTAAAAAACCTCAGTAATCGACATGGAGAGACAAATAAAATAAAAAAGGCTACAAATAAAACGAGTTCCGCAGTCAACACTGGCACACGCGACTCTGCATTGCATGGATTATAACATTGCCTGTTCATGGGACACACACACACACACACACACACACACACACGCACACACACACACACACGCACGCACACACACACACGCACACACGAATATACAGAACACAGACAACATGGCGCTTACTCGTTACTGATACGTCGATGCACGATACCTCGTTGTCCAGAACCGTATGGCTGCATAACGAAACCACAGGCAAACATATCATGTAAGAGGCGGACAGGCGGACGAATGGACAGACAAAGAGACATAAAGAGTGCTCACTGGAAGGTGGAAGGTCTCACACCTCACAAGGGCTAGCCTACTAACAAGAGGGCTTGACATCCCAGAGCCCTCGCTATGCTTTGTTTTTACCTAGGTCATCATGCGGGTTATTCAAAAATGATAGAAACAGCTTTGCAATACGACTATCGAGTACCGGTCAGTCATAGCACAGGACCCATGTCCAAGTAGTAGGTTGGTTATTAATACAGCATGACAGGTATCCTGGACGGTGTTCTGACCTCTCCTCGATAAGGCCATCCTCGGAGACTGTGAGATAGTAGAGATGCTCCGAGCAGGCCACAACCACCTGCTCACTGTTAGAGCTCGCGGCAGTGATGGGCATACCACACGGCGGCTTCCACTCCCTGTAGACAAGGTAGCAAACAAACAGTGACACGCACACGCACACACACACACACACACGTACACATACACACACACGTACACATACACACACACACACACACACACACACACACATACACACGCACACACACACACACACACATACACATGCACACATACACACACACGTACACACACACACATGCACACACACACACACACACACACACACACACACACACACACACACACACACACACACACACACACACACACACACATACACACATACACGCACGCACACACGCACGCACGCACACACACACACGCACACACACGCACACACACACACGCACAGTAAGATGGATTACATATCCAGTTTGAGTTTCCACAAGCACACACATCGGCCACACACATCGGCCACACGCAAACAAGCCCACAACGTGGAAAGACTGATAGCTACGTGTTCCACACAACAGGATAATACGAAAGCAGCTAGCATACTGCATGCACATAGTGCACATGCACACCAACATACAGTCAGACCTCGCATAACCGCACACATCCGTTTTCCACAAAAATATCCGGATAGGCGAGGGAACCGGATAATCGAACACACGTACTGAATGTATGCATGGCATGTGCTGTAAATCGGTAACCAACGATTTTCTTCCGGATGGCGAGGGATCCGGATGAAAGAGGACCGGATAAGCGAGGTCTGACTGTACTACACACGTACAATCAATCAACCTACAGCTTGTCAACACCATAAGCTGTGAGCACACCACCGTTTATCAGGTTCGACTGGCATGGTACAGGTTGTAGGTCAGGTCATATTGCTTATGTTCGTGGAGAGTGCATGCGAATGGGGGTTGCGCAAGATTTTCACCACATCGTCAGCCTGCACAGGAGAGAGATTGTGGGTACGGTGGTGGTGTGTGGTGGTGGTGAGTGGTGTGTGGTGGTGGTGTGTTGTGGTGGTGTGAGGGGGGTCGGGGCCGGATCTAGATTTCACAACCAGTAATCAGTGGTGGCCACACATCAGTCAGCAAGTGCATACAGACAGACTAGAGCTATTATAACATACTGCTTCATGCTAATCGACGTTGCTTCGATAAGGCGAACTTGAGACTCAACCACCTACAGAAAAGAAACAGGTCATTGCAGGAGAGACAGAAAAGAAACCAAACAACCGGTCGGGAATTCTTGCAAGAGTAATATAGAAAGTCGCTACGCAATGATGACCAGTTCGCGACACGGTCGCCATTTTGGATATATGTGGGCTTTGCGCAAAGCCCTAGTTGGCCCTGGCACACGCGCAATATTGGCATATTGCTGTGAGTGTGTGTCGCGTGACTATCCCTGCACAATTTGCAAGCTCGCAAAATTTTATGGACATCCTGTTATGGTGTCATATCGGAAGACGTGTCTTCTTCAAGCTCTTGAACTGTCGGGATGTGAAGGAGCGTTCCTTTGCAGTTGATTTCTTGATGTGTCAAAATGCAGTTTTAGCTATGTGTCAATTGCTTGTGAGTGCGTGTGTGAGTACGTCGTTGTACGCACAGACGGGACGTGGGAGTGTCTGCAATTACGTTTGTGCACATGAATGTATGTATGTGTGTGTGTGTGTGTGTGTGTGTGTGTGTGCGTGCGTGTGTGCGCATGCACTTGTGTGTCCGCAGACCTGGGTGTGAACCCGTGCCTTGGCTAAACAATTCCTGGTCCTTATTTTTTCCGCGGTGAATCTTTCAAAAGGGTTTGTGCTTCTGACATTTGCAGGCTCAGGTTGAACTCAACTTTATCTTTTCTGCGACTTGCAAGGCCGCGACTCAACCGTCCGGCCGCAGGCAATTGCTTTTGTGTGCGTGTGTATTGAGCTCAAATTCTTGTGAGGACTCACGAGCTCGAGATCCACTACCATCATTTGAATCTGGTTTCTATGGCAGCAGGTACTGTATAAGCACAACATTTCACCATTTCGTCGGTCAATAATTTCGTCCAACTCCAAAGAAAGGGAGTTCGTCCGGATGAAAATTTCGTCCATGGATCATAATATAAGAGTGTATTGAAAAGCTGGACAAATCAATATTAATGGTGGAGGTGACTCAACATTTTCTTCAATGGCCGAGAGCTCTGTCGCACCCTGTAATAAATCAATATTAGTCCGGCATTTAATTTAGTCCAACAGCTCGTTGGACGAAAAAGACGAAATTAAATTCCAGACGAATATTTCTGCTTGTACAGTAGCGCAAAAATGATCCAAAATGGAAAATACGCGTTCTGCAGACTGCGGAAAAATCTACTGGAAATTTGCCGTGAGTCGCGTACCGGTACATGTTTCGATGGTGAGAATCGACCAAGTATTGACTGAGTTACAGTAGTTTGAACAAGCCACTATGGACTCGATACGGACACCCACGACTATGAGATGCAGGTTCACTGTTCACTGTAGAGCGTCGTACTAGTACGACGGGCGGGCGTGGGACACGCAACTCGTGTGCGTCGTACTAATACGACGCTCGCGGTAAAGAGGTTAAAATAATTCTCATCAAATTCTGACACTACATTTTTTCGGCCAATAGTGTCCCCAAGGCCGAATCCAGGGTTGACACCCACCAGCATACCATAAACAGGTTAAATGTTGTACCCTGCTCCATAAACCTGCATCAAGGCTACACAACCCTATTCCAAAACAGACTGCACTCACTTGAATGATGAAGCCAAAAGATAGGTTAGAAGCAAAGATGGTCTCCTCAGACTGAACGAAATCGTGGCCGTCAGTCATCTGTCCAAGCTCATCATCAGTAAATTGAACAATGCTGAAACACGCGCACACACACACACACACACACACACACACACACACACACACACGGGCACACACACACACACCCACACGGGCACACACACACACACACACACACACACACACACATACACACAAGGACAATTTTTAGATCGATTCCTGCAGGGCCAGTATAGCCGGTTGGGATATTACAAAGCCACCTTCAACATCCCACAGCCGAAAGAATCACAAGCACCAGAGGGAATAATTATAGCATAACACTGGAGGCTTCGGGTTTGGTGGCTAATGACGGCAACGCATACAACCAGTACGTAAAACTAAAAAGCAACCTTGATCAGATGAGGAGTTGCACAGCACTCACATGGTTTGCTCAATGAGTGCCACAACAACAGCTGAATGTAGATCAGTGTCAGCACCACAGGCAAAATACAGCACTCACATAGTCTGCTCAATGAGCGCCACAACAACAGCTGAATGTAGATCAGTGTCAGCACCACAGGCAATAGCCCAGACACCTTGAATAGTGCTGCCCGTGTCGGACACTGCTACCTCCTGAATACCAATACCGCTGCGCACTACACGTAACGATCCCGTGTGACCGTAGCCACTGCACGTCACCACCTACCAAACGAAAAAGAAGCACGCGCACGCACACACACATACACACACACACACGCACACACACGCACACGCACACACACACAGAGGTATTCAGTAAAGTCATCGGTGTACACTTAGCACCGTGCCAACTTTCTGTGTGCCCCCCCCCCCCCCCCCCCCTCCCCTCCCCTCCCCCCCCCCCCCCACGGCAATTTGGAATTTGCATTTGGTGTGAAGCAATTAAGGCCAAAACAAAAAATAGGCTTGTTTCCGGTCGGCAACCCCTCAAAAAGGAGACTCGGTCGGCCGGAATGAAACTTTTTTGGATACTTTTTTGGTTCCTCAATCGTTGTGGTACTGATGGACAAGAGCACCTACACATGCACATACGTACATTATACATATATGATGGCAAGGATCAATGTCAAAGTTGACTGACTCACTGTTCCTGTACAGCATGTGGTGTATTCCTGTTTTCGTACATCCTGAGAAATCAAGAAAACAGTTCGAGTCCTTCCAGCCCTGTTATTCTAGCTCGTATCGACCCCGGAGGTTTTCAAGCCGACAGCTGAGAATCTCTGCTACCTTGTAGGTGTTTCGATTGTGGAATTCGGTTGAGATTTGACTGAGTTATGACTCGTAGAGTGCACTTGCACATATGGCATTGCCACCGTTTGTATACATTTGGGACCAAAACAAGTTTCAGAATTTGGGAAAAAGTGGCCCGGTCGGCTGACCGGAAACAAGATCATTATTTGTTTTGGCCTAATTAATTAATTATTGTAGCATTGGAGTGTAAAAGAGGCATACATGTACTTACCGATCCTTGCCCTTGACGGTCCTGGTCCACAACTGCCATATCAGTTATCGGTCCAATACCCACAATGGTATCTATCACTTCAAGAAAAGAGCCTTGCTCATTGGCATCCGCAAGCAGCTGCAACACAGGAGAGAAAGAGTGAGTATGTGTATGTGTGTGTGTGTGTGTGTGTGTGTGTGTGTGTGTGTGTGTGTGTGTGTGTGTGTGTGTGTGTGTGTGTGTGTGTGTGTGTGTGTGTGTGTGTGTGTGTGTGTGTGTGTAGTGTGGTGGTGGTGGTGGTGGTGGTGGTGGTGGTGGTGGTGGTGGTGGTGGTGGTGGTGGTGGTGGTGGTGGTGGTGGTGGTGGTGGTGGTGGTGGTGGTGGTGTGTGTGTGTGTGAGTGTGCGCGTGTGCGCGTGTGCGTGAGAGAGAGAGAGAGAGAGAGAGAGAGAGAGAGAGAGAGAGAGAGAGAGAGAGAGAGAGAGAGAGAGAGAGAGAGAGAGAGAGAGAGAGAAGTGAGCACAAGAGAACAAGGACAACATCATTCACAGAAGCTCAGCAATAGCAGCGAGTTGAACATAGTGTAGTTTTGTGATGTTGAAATAATGGCCCCAGGACATTGCTGTGCATCAGGGAGTCGGAGCAGCTAGGGAGACCACACGGACAACTGTACCACTAAATCGTGTGGGTTTCGACTTCGACTCCGGGCTGCCTGCTACAATCGCACTTGGGGCAGGGCTAATTTAAATTTTTACATGCTCACGTATGTCATCCCATCACTTGTCTGGGCCACGCTCAGGGTCATCAGGTCCAGGCCGCGATTGCGAGTTGCATAGACCACGGATCACGTCGAACTTCCAAAAATCCGGGGTCGAAACACACATTGTTTCGGGCACTATGATCTTGTGTCGTCTCCTTAGATGCAGCTGCTTCCTGCGATGCATTACAACACTAGTAGATCTACATTGAGGGTTTTATTAAGGATGTGCATCCCAATGCAACAGAGCCCTTAGGAGCGAATGGAATGTCATCCTGTTCACTTTGATACGGAGATGTACTCACTACTGCTGCAGCTGCAGCACACTCTGGGGCAATGGTTCTGTACACACACACACACTGCTATAGTGCGTTTCAAAAGTCCAGACCTCTGGTTTCAACAAAACAGCCAGGCCAGCATCTATACCACATAAAATCATTGATAACTTTGGGCATAAAATTGCCGAAATTGGGCGTTTGTTATCCAATTGCTTAGAAATATATACTTTATAAGTATGAAAAAATTGCGGGAGCTGCTTGTGCAATATTCCGAAGGAATTTCTCAAAAAGCTCAAACCAAATTTGAATTATTGGAAAAAGTCTAGAGGTCTATAATTCTGAAGTGCACTACAGTAAGTAATGTCGACAAATAGGGCGCTCTAGCAAGGACACACACCCGAAAATGCAGGTTGTGCTCAACGGAGGGCAGCATGCTCCCGGACTTGGGTACAAGGTGATGTTGGCCGTTGATAAGACTCGTATGAAACACTTGGCAAGAGACAGTAAAGACTAACAAACAGACTTACTCGAACAAGCTGACTGTCACCAAACGGCGAACCGATATAAACCACTGAGTTGTCCAGGTATGAGATACTACGCGCACTAGTAACCTGCATGCACGGACAAGCAGACAGACGGACGGACAGACGGACAGACAGACGGACACAGACACACAGATAAACAGACAGATGAACGGACAGATAAACGGACAGATAAACGGACAGACAGGCATACAGGCAGACAGACAACAGTAGTAGATAGCCGAACCAAGAACCAACATCCAAACCCTCTCTTATTGAGACAGACAGACAGACAGACAGGCAGGCAGACAAGTAAGCAGGCAAACAAAAGGCTGCCTGCTGCCCCCCCCCCCCATTTCCATACTTGATGACCGGAGAGCGTTATGAGTCCCTCGTGCATGTTACCCCCTCGTACATGTATACCCGTCTACCAGGACTCAACAGCATAAGATAAGCATTTCACGTTGCTGCCAACGACACCTTCAAACAGCCATCCTCCTCTCTCACCTTTCCAAGGTCCTCCAATCTGAGCTCGCCAACAGTAGAGCGGCCAGGCATGGAGGAGTTTGGGTCCTCACGCAGCAGCAGCATGAAGACCGTGCCAGAGATGTCGCTGAGCAGGATACGGCTATGATCCAACATACAGTGACACTGGATGACACTTCTCTGCAGTGGAGATCGGATGAACAGTTGACAGTGGACGCACACAACAGAAACTACAGTCTCAACAAAAGCAGGGAATTTTGCATTCCATCTGCAACACAAGTAGGAGAGCAGGCTTTCCAACTTCAATGTTATCTGCGGTAGGGAGACCTCCCTCCATGCTGGGTTAGCATTAGGGAGGTCGCCTGCCGTCCACGTGCAGGGGTAAAAACGGGCATGCTACGAGTATACATGTACATGTAAGCATGGTTGACTGTGCACAGGAAAAGAGTGCACCAGTGTACACGTACACAGGAAAAGAGTGCGGCACTCTATTATGCACATGCATGGTTGGCATATTCGATGCAACAATCTGCGAAGAGTGGGGAGGTTTCAATTCTAGTGTGGAGCTAGGGAAATGTTTCAAAAACATCAACAAAATCAGGGGATCTCCCGCCTAACCGGGAGATTTGGCAACTCTGGGCGAGAGAAGAGAAAAGAAGAGAAGAAAGAGAATGAGAGAGAGAGAGAGAGAGAGAGACACACACACACACACACACACACACACACACACACACACACACACACACACACACACACACACACACACACACACACACACACACACACACACACACACTTGTCTTTTTGCTCACTGCCAAAACTGGTCACGTGGGTCTCCCCGGGGAGAGGGGAGAGAGACTCAAAAGGAATCTTGGAAAGATGATTCAATTGGCTATTGAACCGCCCAACGGCTGACACCCCTGAAATGATCCCACTTATGGGCTCACCACACCTCAGTAAGTGGGTGAGGACAAGGTGCAGAAGAAGGATTGACGGCATCAGGGTATCCGCGCGCGCACACGCGCACACACACACACACACACACACACACACACACACACCACACACACACACACACACACACACACACACCACCCACACACACCACACACACACACCACACACACACACACACACACACACACACACACACACACACAAACACGCACGCACGCACAACACACACACACACACACGCACAACACACACGCACAACACACACACAGGCGGGGAGGAAAGATAGCCAAAGCACACTTGGGATCTCACCTTGAGCTCCGGGGGCGCAACCGAGCGGTGTTTACCAGAAGCACCAGAGTGATAGAGGATGGTTTGCTGCCCAACGATCACCACGCCACCAAAATAATCTTCAACTGAAAAAGGGCAGAGACAAAGTAGGAAAAAACTCAGTTACTGTAATTTCACAAATTTTCAGTGTACTTTTATTTTCGGTACTTTCGGTGCATCTGTTTCGTACCTAAAATTTCAATACACCGAACAAACACTTACACACATAATCCAATAGGGAACTGCTTCTTTGTACGTACAATTTCTGTTCACCTAACCTGGCCCTTTGTCCTCATACCGAAAATATTGAGCACCTAAAATTTCTGAAATTAGAGAATGTAAACTTCCAAGCTCCAGTACAAGACAAGAACAAAACTGATTCCAGCAGGAAGGACAAGGTGAAAGCAGCTACCGTCAACCCTGGATAGCCCTAAGCAGCAAATGAACCAAAGTGTTGGACGGCCAATGCAGAATTGCCTTCTGGCATGGAGGCAAATCACTCCGAGTAGCTCTGAAAAAACGGTGTACGGCGCTGCAAGGTGCCCGCAGTAGTTTTTTTCAGGGTCAGGAGTTCACCAGCCCGCAAGGTATTACAGTTGAGTGCCGATTATCCGCACCCCTCTGGGCACGGGCTGTGTCCGGATGAGAAGATTGTTCAGACAAAGGATCGGGTCACACATCAGTCTAAAAACATGCATATTCCCGCATGTTTTCATCATTTTTCATTCTCTATAGGCAGGGCAGTACAACAGGAACTAGGCGCACTTCAGCTCCTCAAAATGGCACAATATCTCTATACATTTCGACTCGAACCTGTTGTACAAGTAATACATCTTGTGCATCGCTTGAATGGTGCCTCGAGTGAGGGAAATCAGCAAAAACCTGGAAAACCCTGCTCATTATTTTTTGTCAAGCCCGGCCAGACAATGCGGATAATCGATCATCCGGATACTGTACAGGCAGAAAATTTCGTCGGTCAATAATTTCGTCCAACTCCAAAGAAAGGGAGTTTGTCCAGTTGTAAATTTCGTCCATGGATCATAAGAGCGTATTGAAAAGCTGGACAAATCGACGTTAGTCCGGCATTTAGTTTAGTCCAAAAGCTCCTTGGACGAAAAAGACGAAATTAAATTCCAGACGAATATTTCTGCATATACAGTAGCTGACACGTGCGGATAATCGGCATTCTACAGTGGTAACCTGATCCTGATGAATGTACAGTAGCGGGTCAGTTATCCGACACCCCCGGGACACGGCTCTGTTGGTCAAGTGAATATTGGGGTACCGTTAAAGCCCCTGTATACGCCCACTCGAAATAACGCCCACCCTCCTTGTACACGCCCAGTCAGGGGAAGTCAACACTTTTGTTTCAAAATAGCGCCCATGCCCATGTATACGCCCAGGCGTGCCAGCAATACCAGTACATGTACAGGTACCGATACCCAGTACTTACTGCTATGTTGATGGATGTGTTTCAGGATTGCTTTTCCAAACCAGACCACTGTTTACACTGTTTCTGGTTCATTGAAGTGGGAATACTGTATTTATAGAGTGCATTCTCAGCTAAAAAACGAATTGGATACAGTTTCGAGTCGTATCGAGCCAGGGGAGAATTTCAACATTTGTATTCCAAGTATACGCCCGTGTCCTTGTATACGCCCAGGAAATCGAGGCTGCTATTCTATACGCCCGGGGCATATACACGGGCTTTTACGGTATGCCAGGAGAACATACCACAGTGTCCCCTCGGTAAAACATTCGAGTCGAATACAATCACAGAACACGACGCTACGGGTGTTCGGAATTAGGACACCTGGCCGGACTTTGAGCACCTGGGTCTACCATTGACGAGTGGTTGTCCCCGTCTCTACAGTACATGCAATTTGTTCATTCACCTGGTATGATCATATGTGATTCAACCTCTAGATGTTGGCGACTCCAGGGTCCTGCCTTGATTTCTTGCTCGTCAATATCCAGAACTACTGTTTGAACATGTCGGTGGGATGCCTCATCCTGAAAAAACGCGAGCACAAATGCACACATGAATGTATGTACATGTGTACGTTTTTAAAAGCATGAACATGCACACGCACACACACGCATACACACACGCGTGCACACACACACACACACACACACATACACAAACACACACACACACGCACACACACACACACACACACGCGTGCACACACACACACATACACAAACACACACACACATACACAAACACACACACGCACACACAAATACAGACACACACACACACACACACACACACACACACACACACACACACACACACACACACACACATGCATACAGTAAGATCGGGCGCCGAAGAACGCAGGGGCTCGAGCGCAGCCTAGGAAAGTTCTTAAATTTTTGATTCTAGCCAGACCGTTCTTATTCACACGCGCGCGGCGAGTCGAGTGACGTCATGACGTTTGTCATGTACATGTACATGTACATGTAGTGCAATGTAGTACTTCTAAACTAGTGGGTGTCGTAAATGGGAATGACTGTACATGTAGCAGTTACTGTTTACACGTGTACATGACATGTACTCACCTCCCATACATGTACAATGTAGATCTACGTACAATGTAGATCTTATTATTATTATTTTGCTTGTTCGCGTTGGCATCAACCTGCATAAAGCAGGTATATAGCCTTCGCTTAAGCTGCCATAAAAAAGAAAGCTCATCCTAAGCGAGAGGGCTAGAGGGAAATCTAACGATAACGATAACGAGATACAGAATACAAAGAAATCCAATGAGTTCAACGTACAATTCAAAACAAGAAAGAAAGGAAAGAAAAACAGAGCCGAATCTACCGATTGATCCATCAATCGACAAAGGGGACTAATCCGTTAGTGTTGCAAAGTAGAAGCTGATTATAGTTGCAGATCTCCAGGCCAGGGCCAGCATATTGCCGATTCTGGATAGGTCTCCGCAGCATTTGATGTGGTAATTATCATGTTTGATAAAATTGTTAGAGTATCTAGTATCTAGAGTACCGAGTATCTAGTATCTAGAGTGTCTAGTGTAATTGTATCCGTTATTATTGTTAAGGGTATCTAGTGTAATTGTATCCGTTATTATTGTTAAGGGTATCTAGTGTAATTGTATAACTTCAGCCATTACACACAGCACACATTAGTTCCTTCCACTTTCGACGATCCTGGGCGAGCTGCCTCAGTGCAACTAGATCCTCGTGTGATGTGAGGGAGTTTGTGGATCTGGAATTTTTCAGGTCGTTGTTGATGGATCGCGGGAGTGTTGTTCTCGGGCGGCCTCGGAACCCTGAGCTTCCTGGCTGAAAGTATGCTGACATAGCCTGCTGGACCGGGGATGAGGTGTCTAGTCGAAGCATGTGGCCAAACATTCTCCACCTAGCAGACTGGATGATTCTGCTGAGTGGCTTGGAGCCAGTGCGCTTGTACAGTGCTTCATTGCGTATTATACGGGGATATTTGACCCCAATGACTGCCCGTAACTGCTGGCGGTGGAACGAGTCAAGTTTCTTTTCTTGAGTCTCTGTCAGGCTCCATGTGCCGCAGTTATAAAGAAGTATTGGGAGAATAAAGCTGCCGTATAACCTAATCCGAAGGGGTTCACGGGCATGGTTACCTCTTAGCCATATCACCCACAGCTGATGTAAGGCGCATGTTGCTAGACGTTTTCTCCGACTGATATCTTCCTCCACTCCAAGCATCGATCCTAGTTTGACCGTGTTCCGCCATCGCTCGTCTACTCTGTCCTTTTCTCTTTTAATTGTAGTATATTCGGTTTTGGCTTCATTCATTTTTAAATTGTATTCCGCTAACGAGGATGATAGTACGGGTTGATTGTCATGCAAATATTGTAGGCTGGTGCTGATGAAGTCTACGTCATCCGCATACGCTGTTTCATTGGGCAATTGAAGCTGAATATCCAATGCTGGTCGCGGTGAGAGTCGCTCTCGAATCAACCTCAATGCAGCCTCGAGGTAGACAGTAAACAGGACTGGCGATAGAGAATCACCTTGTGGGGTTCCATTATGTGTGACTAATGGTTGGCTGAGAATGTTATTCAGCTTTACTTTTATTGTGGTGTCTGTCAGAAGGCACTGGATGATGTGCAGCTCATCATGATCAATGACTGTTGACAGTACATCGATCAGCCTGACCCTTGATATAGTGTCAAATGCCTTTGACATATCAATGCCTAAGATTGAGATCTCCGACGCAACACGCTGGCATCTTGCTGATAACCACCGATAGCTATATACCACGTCTCCAGTACTTCTCCCTGACCGGAACCCGCTCTGGTTCAGTGACAAGTACCCGTTGATAGCTGGCTTGATCCGCGTCAGGATGACCAATGAAAGAAGTTTACGTAGGGTGTTCAACAGGGTAACTGGCCTTACATTTCCAGGAGGACCTCTTTTCTTTCCCGGCTTTGGTATCGGGATCAGTAGCCCATCGCCTAGCTTGAGTGATTTGTCTTTGGCATAATTGTTGAATGTAGTGGCAATGTTCGAGAACAGTGCTGGTGTTCCATATTTGATAAGTTCAGCAGGTATCCCATCTGGTCCCGAAGCTCGGCCATTATTCAAGCGCTTAGCTGCGGCATGTACCTCTGGCTGCTTTATAGGGTTTTTAAGGTCTTCCTCTGTCCGTAAGAGCCTAGATGACTCCAGAGCAGGATCACAGAATATAGCACGGAAGTGTTGCCTTAATGCTTCGACTGATTCACTAGGTTGTGCAATGAGTTTGCCATCAGAGTCTTCAACCACAACTGGTGACTGCTGCTGTCGGCGCAGTAGTCGTGTTGCTTTGAACATTTTCGCGTCGTCTTTCATTTGGTCTATTTCAGCTACACGTTCGTCCAGTCGAGTCGATGCTAACTTGAGGCATTCCCGGCGAATTTGGTGTGCCAGCCTGTTGCGTCGCGTCTTCATTTCTTTTACCTTCGTTCCATCTCTGCACACCGTAATGTCGAGACGCAGTTTGCGTTTCTCTGCTGCTAGCTTTTCAATTTCCCCGCTGAAGCCATTTCTATGCGTCTTGTTTGTTTTAGGGACGCGGCCCACCGATGTGTTTGCTGCCTCACTCATAGCGTTCACAATATACTGCAGATGTTGCTCCGCATTGACACCTTCCTGCTCTCTGCCGAGGTCCTGTAGATGTTCGTTGATAGCCTCTCTGTACTTTGCTTTCTTGGTCGGGTCACTAAATTCCGATATATTGAATTTTGTGTTGCTGGATATGGCTACTGGCGGCCTCTTGAGCTTCTTGTACAACTTAGTCAGGTTGAGGTTTGCCAGCACAAGACGGTGATCGCTTTCTAAGCTTGTCCCGGCATATGATCTGGCGTCCGTCACCACAAACCTTTCACTGTGACGGCAAAGGATATAATTAGGGATCTCAGCGTGTGAACTGCGCAGCCAGTCTGCGCAGGTGAGGTTTTCGATCCCAAACGCGTCCAGTGCAGAAATCGTGGAAAAGAACATTTTTTTCGAAATAAATCAAGTTGAAGAAGACAGTAGAAATGGCTGAATATTGCGTCCAGGAAAGCACGTTCTACGGCCGTCTCCAAGCTACCTATCTCCCAGTAACTCTCTCAGAGGAACTATGGAGGGTCAAAGAGCACAATCTTTCACGCTTGGACGCAGCGTGAACACCTCTTCAACTGAGCGCGATGTCTTCTCTCTGAGTGATAATGGCGGCGATGTTCGCGATGGCTGATGCACTGAAAATCGAAGTTAGGACAATCTAACCGGAGAAAACGTCTGAATTTTCTACTGAATCCTCTCTGAAGTGGGTTCTTGCCGCACGGAAAATTATAGGAAAATCGACCGGGGCAATATCGCCTTGGCCACCCTGTCCTTCGGCGGGAATTACAAAGTATGTTCGAACGACGATGAAGATGACGATTCCGCTAGTGTCCACCGCGTCCCCTAGTGTCGAAAATCGACCGTCGCCATTTTTCTGCTGTGTCCGCGAGCTGCACTCAAAACTCGATGACGCAATGTATGCGCAAACACCCTGCGCACTGCACGCGCTGAGATCCCTAATATAATCTATTTGGTTGTAAATGGGTAAAGGTGGACCTCCACTAGGGTTGTGGCGCCAGCCTGTCCATGTGGTGATATGTTCTGCACGGTGCTGAAACGCCGTGTTACAGGCAAATAGGTAATTGCTGGACGCGAAATCAGCCAAAGTCTGGCCGCTGTAGTTGCGATGGCCCCTTGAGTGTGAACCAGCATAGGATACGGAGTGGCCGTCACTGGGTGGTCGTTTCCCAAGTTTTGCGTTGAAGTCTCCCATCAGGAACAGCAGCGATGAAGACCTTAGTTTTTGAATTGTTTCCAGCAAGCTGTTGTAGAACTCGTCTAGGCATGAATGGTCTGCTGCAACGCGTGTTGACGTCGGGGCGTAGACATTTACAAATGAGCACAGCGTTCTCCCGGAGAGCCATAACTGTAGCACGGCGATACGGTCCGACACCTGCCAATATCTATATATTCGGTGCAGTAACTGCTTTTCCACCACGAATCCGAGTCCATAATGTCGACACGACGACGAGAGACACAGTAGACGGTAGTTGTCAATATTTCCATCGTAGCCTTCGGAGATTTTAGTCTCCTGAAGACAGCAGAGTCCAACTCTGTATTTATTGAGGTCTGAAATAAGTTGATTTTTTTTGAAATTTGAAGTAAGTCCACGGACGTTGAACGTACCAATGCGAAACAAGCCCTCGCCTTTTGCTCCACTACTCAAAATACTTCCACAAGCTTGCCTGTTTCCTGGCGAAGAAGACATTACCCATGGGCCAGCCGAAGCTGACGGCCATGACCGAGCGGCGTCACTCGCTCTCCAAACAAAGAGAGGGGGCGGATGTAGATCTAGTGTTCTTAAATCTGATAATTCTAGCCTGGACTGTTCTTAAATTTTGCCGGTTTTCCAGCCTGGGTATTCTTCGGCGAGGTGTTCTTCGGCGCCCGATCTTACTGTACCCACACAAACACTCATCACCAAACTTGATTGCAATATAGACAAGCATAGGTACTGCATGACAGAGCCACAAACAAGAAATACATGCACTGTAAACCCCGACTCGTTTGCGCCGGCTTCGGTTTGTCAATTGCGACGGCAGACCATTTTGCGCCTGCAAGCGTTTGCGATTGGAGTCAATTTGATGATTGACTCGAGTCTACAGTTTTGCTTTCCGCGCCCACTGACTTTCGCGATTTCACGCCCATCGCGAACGTTTCAGGATTGCAACGGTTGCTGGGCTTACAGCACTTAGAAGCTGAAGAAAGATTTGGTGACGAGACAAAAACTTGAAAGAACAATGGAGCTACCGTAGTGACGCGTATATAAGCGCATGTGCCTATACCCGGGCATAAGCGCATGTGCCTATACCCGGGCATAAGCGCACCCTCACAAATAAGCGCATGGGCTTATAAGTGAACCTGAATGCAGTCCATCCCGCGACACACAGACACCACAAGACACCATGTTCACATAGTTCAATGTGCACACACTACGTGCATAATTATGTAACGTACCGGTACACTAGCAACTCGAGCGCATGCGCCTATGTGTGAGGCAAAACGACCCGCAAAAATAGCAAATAACACAAAAACTACACTCATAAGCGCATGTGCCTTTATGTGCGTCACTACGGTAATCTTAGTGGCAGTCTCACCTGGTGAATGTATGCCAGCGTTGGTTGATCACTGTTATGCAGGAAGCACATGTCAATCAGCTGCAGGTGCTCAAGGCGCACATCAAACGTAAAGAACTGCTGCGACTTGTGCAGCTGCTCCAGTGGAATAATCTTGATCATCCCTGCGGCAATACAGGTGTCCATACAAATAAGCATACGCGTGTGCACAACATCAACAATGGAACAAATGCATGGCCACATTACGAGCTAGTGCGTAGCACTAAAAGCACAAAAACAAAACAAACAAAATCGTGCAAGATGGTGTATAAACCTGGGCTTGTTCCTGTAGAAGCCAACACGACGCCTAGGCTTCTATTCAAACCAAGTATTCCAATACAAAGTCAACACAAAGAAAACAGGTGCACAGGCCAACGGTGCATCTTGAAAATCACACCTGTGCTCAAAACTTGTTTCCGTAAAAGACATGCTTTTTCCCCCAAGACACTACGGTGTCCCAATGCACTGGGAAGGGACAACGTTGACATCCAAACTGAAGAAACGTCAGTAACTCACCGGCATAAAGGCGCAGGGCAATGACCTTGTGGCGAGGATCGATGACGCCAATGAAGCCAGTGTCACACGGACGACCGGTGCGTTGCTGTGTTGTTGCATGTTATAAGAACATCCACCCGCACACGAATACACACACACACACACACACACACACGCACACACACACGCACACACACACACACACACACACACACACACACACACACACACACACACACACACACACACACATATGCACACGTCCAAACACAGAGAGACGTCTCACGTCACAAGATGTAGCAACCAGTTGCGCTCGGTGAAATCCGACTCTGAAATGGATAATTGGCGCCGTCGACTTGTACGGCTCTTGACGCCCTGGACGTGGTACAAATGCGGCTGCCAGCGCTGGACGTACACATGTACGAAATTCACGGATCATCATCATCATCAAGCCCATAGCCCTAAGGCCGTCGGGGCGTCACAGAGCAAGTATGAACAAGCGAGCGCCATAAAAATCGATTCACAAATACGGTGATGTGAATCAGAACCGGGCTAGGGCGCCAGTTTTGCACTTTGGGTCGCACTTCACCAAGTGCAACTGTAGTTCCATCCGAGCATGGCATGGACGGTGAATCCCAGGTTCTTGCTTACCCAGCATGTGACGACATAGCACGCCGTCAAGGACTGCTGCTATCACAAAAGGTCATAGAGACACTTCAGTCAGGGAAACGGGTTGGTGTTTTAACAGCACCTTTGCCGAAGAAGAAAGCAACAATCACAGGCCAGGAGTGAGCGGCGAATCTTTCGTACAGAGATCAGAGATAAGAATATGCGAATGACATGTCATTGCATATGTTTTATACCGAGTGTCAAGCCAGTGCTTGGCAGTAAAATACAAGTAGTCAAACTGAAATCTTACATAAGCATCTCCACAGCAGTGTGTGACAAACTCCTTGGTTTCCTGATCATACGAAAATACCATGGCCCAGAGACGCTCTGTCAGCAAGAAAATGTGATCAGTTTCACTATTCTGTAGGCAAAAAATAGGGAGAGAGAGAGAGAGAGAGAGAGAGAGAGAGAGAGAGAGAGAGAGAGAGAGAGAGAGAGAGAGAGAGAGAGAGAGAGAGAGAGAGAGAGAGAGACACACACACACACACTCTTTCATGGGAGTTGGTTGGTTTATTAAAATTACTACAGTCCATTTCAAAACTATAGACGCGTACCTAGGCAAAAACTGTTATGCCAGCATCTATACCACATAAAATCCGTGATCACTTTGTGCATAATATTTTCCAAATTGGGCGTCTGTTATCCAATCGTTTAGAAACTACTAGTATATGAGAGTAATTGTGGAGCGGACCTGAGCAATATTCCGAAAACTATTCTCAAAAAGTTCCAGCCAAATTTGAAATATTTCAAAAACCCTACGCGTCTATAGTTTTGAAATGGATTGTAGTACTGTTTCTGGGACTTTCATGGAGTCAAGAGCCGGCTCTGTTATCTTTCTAACTATAATATTACCGTATTTTCTCTAATAAAAGCCCAGGTCTCCAACAATAGCCATGTCTCCAATAATGACCCGGGGTGAGGGTTGTTTGACATAATAAGAGCACAGTCTCTAATAGTAGCGCGGGCCACAATAGGAGTATGCAACAAGTACATTGACTGCATCTAAAATAGCAGTACAGCATGCCGATCACATCTTGTAAGGAGGTTTATCGGTCTACTGCTTCCTAGTAGTGCCCATGTTATTGTGAAACATCAGTTATGACAATATTCCTGAGTTAAGGGTTCAGAAAATCAGTATGGATATGGTCCGGTTATGTCTATAATCTCTCTATATAAACTGGAGTTGGCTTGATAGTGGAACATTGAAATTATCCAACCACAGTCTATAATAAGAGCACAGTCTCTAATAGTAGCGCAGGTAGAGCTGTCACTGAAATAATAAGAACCCCGGGCTCTTAGCAGAGAAAATACAGATATTGCTCTTGAACAATCCTAAATAAGGCTACCAGTACTTTGAAGCATTTAAATTTGAAGTCATGAAAGAATAAAATTTAGGTCAGGAGCAGGTGCGTATACATGTGTTCACAAGTTGTTAAGCAATTAATTAACCCTTTGGACACGAATGGACTGGTGCAGTTATACTGACGCAATTAATTGGAAATGATGTATTTACCTCTGGTCGATATGCCAACATGACTTCAATATGACCACGAATAGGTGTTACCAACATGGGTTTCAGCCCCTCGGCTGTGGACAGGGAGAGCTCGAGGTTTCTTCCCTTGGCCACGAGTAAGTTCACATCGTCCTTTCCGGTGATATTTGCCTTCAAGCATTGATGCACTGAAGTCGAAGACTGGGCCGTCACGACGTAATTGTAAGCCATGATTGTCCTTTGGAACTACCGCGACAAGGCGGTATCTTTAGAAGAGCATGCAAACCAGTCCTGACAAAAAAAGAGCACAAACACTCCCAGGATATTTCTTGAACAAGCAGTGCCTTCCCCGAAAGAAAAGCCAAAACTAAACAGCTAAAGAACTGAGAATGCTACACACATGCCATGGGTTGTTGTGTAGCTGTTTTTCTCTTTTCAAAAAACTTACTTTCAAGTGAAGCTTCATTTCAATAAAATTTTTACGGGGTTCGTAGATCTACGCATGAAGTAGTTATGACGTTTCATTCCTTCACGTGACGTCGTTTTGATCGTGGTTACGTAACTGATAAAAATGATTATGACTCACAATAATTGGACTCAGATGGCCATATGGATGGAGAGCAGGGAGTCGTAAAATACTTATTTTACGACTCCCTGATGGAGAGCTTGTGTGTGTAGTTCCTTCAATCCTTGCTTGGTCTTTCTCTTTTCTCTTTTTCTTTTGTATAAACTCACAATAACTATTCATAATAATAATTTATGTCCTGTCCTAAACAACATAGTCATTAGTATTAGGCCAAGTAAAAAAAATTGTAGTAGTACATGTCGACAATGGCGGGAAATCCGCCATTGTTGTCGACCGGCCTTCGGCGCCAGGTTGACGGCCTTTCTGCCAAACTCAGTGACGTGGTAGATAATTTGCCAAATAAGGTTGACCTCGCTACATTGGTTCAGGAAACGACCTCTTCGCGCACACAGCAAGTTCATGTCATGCGTGACGTCATGGCAGAGGAGGTGGCGAAGCGGGACGTCACCGCAGCAACAACGCGGTTCTCCGTGGCCTAGTGGAGGCTGACGGGGGAGGTATATTATGGCACCGCAGGCCGCGCACCTGAGGGCCTTTCTGGAAGCCTTACTCGATCGGATAGAGCGAAACTGAGCACCCTGGGATGCGAGCAGTTTTTTGTACTCCCGGGTCCAAAATCTCACCACCAGGCCGGGCTGATCAAAACGTCTGCCGGGTCTGCAGCCTACAAACGTGGATCTGCCGACACTGTGCTGTCGACGACATGTCCCGCAAGGCACCTTGCGTGAAAGCAAGGAACGCTTTTTTTTAGAAAGGAAGCTTCTTCCCCAAAATTTAAAAAAAATTTAAAATTATTCCTTCTGAAAATATCATCGCGCTCTTGACCTCGAAGCTGACTGCTGAATGCGATTAGGAAAGAAGATTCCTGAAGATGCACCAGACTGATTCTGGCAAGCCGTCTGTCGTCTGGATATGCACTGTTGTTCGTCATGGTCAGCAATCTTCTTCGTTCGTCCTTTCGTTTTCCTGACCACGATGATGACAAGCAGCTCTCATGCTCAGGTTAGTGCTACTTGTATGTCTGGGCACACAACACATCTGAGATGCACCCACTGACGTTATCGAACTGAAGAATGCAGCAAGGGTTCCTCGGATTCTCTTGACTTCGGAACAAATTTCCTTCACTTTCACCCTCTCAGTCTCTTCCCCATGTGCCCTCCATGCATGCACAATGGAGCTTGCATTACAAATGTTGTTTTTACTTTGGCAGTGCGTTCGATAACGTTAGGGCAGTCTAAGTTAGGTGTTCTTCTCTTCAGGCTTATTGGGCCTGTAAAAATTCTAAAAAATAGCTTCCAAAATGTAATGCTAAACGCAGGTCCCTATGATTATGAATACGGTTCTGCTGGGCAATGATGTTTGCACCAATCTACACTCTATGCTGTCACAGCACCCACAACTGATCCTCTCTCTCTCTCTCTGATCACTATTAATTTTGATAAAGCTAATCTTTAAATCGCTGTTGCACAGGATCTCAGGTGCGAAGAAGCGATGAATCGATACATGGCATTGTGAATAAAAGAAGAACAAATTCACAGTGCACGTGAGACTCGGTTAGAAAGACTGCGTTTCCGCGTTCGTAAGAACGCCACACGTACACCCCGGGGATCATGATAAAGAAAATATGTCGTGAAAATGACTGAAAAAAAACTGAAAATATTTTCTGTATTTGTACGGAAAATCACTCCTTGTTCGCACTACAGAATTTGGGCAAATGGTACAGAAAATTGAAGAGGATCAATCAGCTGTGTAGAAGCATTGCAAGTGTAAGCTGAGCGATGAATAGTCTTGTACCAAAGTGAGTGCATGCCGTACCACGACAACATGTACATGTAGCACAAAAAATAATGTCGTGAGTGCAAGTCACACATGTTTTACACTTCCAAATGCAGCCACCGACATGCATGTGCGTGTCAAAAAACTTTATAGTGCAAGTATGCATGCAATGTACACGGCAGTACGCAAAACACTGCAAGATACGGAAAATCAGAAGTCTGAGTACGCAAAACAGACTCAATTGGTGGGCAGCTCTGTACTGGCCGGTACGGAGGGAGTGAATCTCAATGTGTGCGATGCATGGACTTCGGCCGACAGTGAAAACTATGCAAGTCGTGTAGGTTTGCAGGATGAACGTGAGTCCTTTTAGACAAGCGCCTTAGTGAAGTAGCCCACCGAAAGAAGAGTACTTGACACCGCAAAGTGGAGTCTGCGCATACAACAGTGAGGGGGTAAAATTAGCTATGACTAATTCTGCATGTGTGTCACATTTCACTAGCAGATAGGCACACGTGTTGTTCCAAAAAGATGCTTATGTCAGTGTCTGAATATGTCATGTACCAGGTAATATTGTTGCCAGGATCTCACGGTGAGAGTCAGACTTGGATATGGTATCAATTAGGGGTGAAACGATTACACTTTTCAACTATCGGTTAACCTACCCTTGTATCGATTCGATTATGATATTGATTACTGCGTCCTAGAAATTGTCGCGCCAGACCAGCACAAAGCATGCCGTGTTGAAATATACACATATACATGTACATACACACGTGCAGATAAACCGCGTACTCTAGCGTACTCTGCACATCACGTGCAGGTGCAGACAGTCAGTTTTTTTATTTTTTCACAGCCCTACTGGAAAACATATGGACAACAAAAAGAAACGAGGAAAAGGACAAAGTACAGTATCTAGTAGTGCTGTACATGACATCTTTTGATTCTTGCAGACGGTTCTTTTTTTAGAATCGCGTAATCGAAATCGTTTCCTTGTAATGATCGATTAGACGGATAACCGATATAATCGTTTCAGCCCTAGTAGCAATAGATTATCAATATCATACATCACCACCCAAAGTATAATAGCCGAAGGGCCCGTTTGTGTGGTGGTGTATGATTTCGTGAGCAAGATGAAGTGGCTACAGATGTGTTTTATATAACACCCTAAGAAAAGATCATCAATACTGGGGAAAGTGATTCTGGTAGCATGTTGTATCCAGTGTGGCATGACAGAGACTCCCTCGATTTAGGCTAAGGCCTGTGGAGAATCCATGAATCCATAAATACAATACATACAGGCAGCACAACCTTCGGATTATATGCACTTTTGCTTGCCTCCTGGAGTGTGGTTGTACCTTGGTTCAGTAGACTTTGTTTTTCAAATTCGTTTCTATAACATTAGGTTTCTTTGTGTTGCTGCTATGTCTTTTCATGTGTTTTACAGGATTGCCATCTGTGGATGAATACCACTCTGAGGCACTCTCACGAGCGAAGGTGTTTGAGAATCCATGTCGGAATGATGGTCGTGTTGGCCTAAAGGTGCATTACATTGCCGATGCTCGCCACCTCCACCCTGGAACATGTTCAATTTCTGTTTCTCGTATGGAAGGACCGAACAGGTTGTTTTCCTACCTCAGTGGACCACTCAAGACTGAATAGCACTGATGGAAGAAGATTTGCCGTGATCTCGTTCACATAATCAACCTGTTTAATTGCTGTACTGAGGTGACTGCTTCATAACAATGACCATGCAGCATTAATTTTTGCATAGTACTTTAGTGCCCCTAAAATTGGAGAATATCGAATTTCTCTGCTAGCATTGTGGTTCTTTTGTGAATAAACATCACTACTCTTTTTTAGTAGCATAGCAATGACAGAGTTGGTTTAATGTATGACAAAAATGGAGCTGCTTTTTAAACCTGTACTGTATAATCAGTACCGCCGGAAGCAGTTTTTGATTGGTCCGGTAGTTTAATGGCCTTGTATACTTTGTGTGTGATATGGCGGGTACACACGTCCTCTACAGCAGGAAACATTTGTTGGTGGCCAACAAGTTGGTCCGGTGATAACCTGACCAACCAGACCGGTTCCGGTGGGCCTGATAATTGTGGGGTTCATGAGCAGCTCAAGTACTTGCATGGTTTTGGACATGTCCTCAGTTGAAACCGACTTCACCCAAGCGTTCTCTGAGGGGACCGAGGTCTACTCTATCAGTTCATGTATTCTGTGAAGTGACATGACCATTCGTGGGGACCTTGCTCATAACTGCGAAAGTCCTTGTCTGATTTTTCCGCGTCAATTGAACGTTGTACATGTGCATGTAGTGAAAGCCACATGCATAAGGCTGTTCCATGGCACCATGCCACCAAGCTCTGGGTTCATTGGCTGAACATATTCTTCGGCACAGTAAAGTCGTGCGCCCAAGAGCGTGGAAGCCTAGAACATCCAGCCTGGAATACTAAGAACACCACAGCCCAAAATTAAGAATTGCGGTGCTGGGTTTGTGCTGTTGTAAAACACGGGGATTGTTATTGATTGTCATGTTGTACATGTATTTGAGCTTTACCACTACATACACGTCTGTCTATACACAATATTCAATCTGCGGACAGCATGCTGTTTCGCTCATCAATGCAGCACAGAGAAAATGAGGCAGATGAATGTCCTGCTAGAGAGCATCGAATATAGGTATAGAATCATGCCTTGCAGATCTCGTTACGGCCCCTTCGATGCATGCATGTTTGAACATTAGACGGCTGTGTAGCTTCAGTTATCTCAGAATATGTATTTATCCAGCAGCAACAACGTTGGGCACCGATTAACTGACACACAACTATTCACTAGAATGAGTATGCGTTGGAACACTTTACCCCGAGTCATACTATAGGAGTGAGTGCCATGCATGGGTTTACCTCACAAACTGAATTTCATAATTTGACATCCAAATCACAGAAGAGTGAGTGGTGTTCCAAACTCACTCCATGTCCTGCGAGCTACAGTAGAATACTTCTTATAGCACGTTCTTAGAAACAAATCGTATAAAGTTAGGTTTGAGGCTGTCAACCCAGAAATTTG